ATTACCTCAGTAAATACATCGAATCATTATGTAAAAGTAAATGCTACTATGTTTTTCATACTAACTGTAATGCTATTTTTAAACACTGAATTTTCTGCAGTTTTTTTTGCGTTTCTCGGTCATACAAGGAGCACAAGGGAGGTAAGCCTTGGTGGGATGCTTATCCTCAAAGACGTGTCTCAGTTTTGGAGGTCTGTATTAGCTCTGCTTCCGGTTTGTATTGTTATTGAATTCTTCAAAATCATTTGTCATTTTTTAAAATATATTTTTAATATTCCTGACCCGAATTTTTTAAATTCCATTTTTATTGGATTCCAAAACTTCATAATAAAAATCCTTACAAACAAAGATACTGGGGGTTAGTAAATTTTCTATCAAGCCTCTTTCTTTTTTCCTCATTTAAATTTTTTTCCCCGTGTAGTAGCAAAGGGAGAAACTTAAAGAGGACTATGCAATAATATATTGATTTAAAAGTGGTGTAAATAGATGTGGATAAATTCCCAAAAATTTGGAAAATGCAAAATCAAAAATTTTTACTAAAATTATTCCTACTTAGGCGTAAGACTGTATAAGGATTAATATTTGCATATCCGACAGAGCTAGATTTTGTGCAAGCTGAATTACATTAATTTTTCCTGCATTTTAAAAGAAACATTTTTCAGAAAAAGAATGATATTACTGGTGCAGAATACTGCAGTGTTTACTTCCTTCACTCTTTTACATGGAACAGATTATTCAATGTACTGTAATTCATCGTTTGAACATGTCCGTGTATCCTTTTTCTGCATTTCTATCTACTGGATAGTCCATTTTTTCCCACGAACAAATATAATGACGAAAGGGGTGAATTGCTCTTTTCCCCCAAATGTCACTACTTATTTATAGTAAGCATTCGCGCCTTTTCCTTGGATTGTTCTATAATTGTATGAATGGGTGTCCTTCTAATAATTAAGAAATTTTTTTAAAAATTTTATCCCTTTCTTTTGAACAACATATCGTATATATCAGTATATAGATATGCAACACTAAAGGAATGATTTTTCAATTTTTTCCCAATTGCAGTTGGTTTATTCCATAAATGGACCGTCCAACAATATACACAACGCAGTTCAACAAGGCAGTACTCTCCAAATGCATGATCTTTATATGTGTCTGTTCAAATGCACACAATAAATAAGAAACAAGTGCAAAATCTTGGAATTTTGTCTTCCAAAAAGGCCTAAATTTAATTTACTTATTTCATTCTCAATATGTGATAGTAGCACTCCCCCCCCCCCCCCCCTTTTAAAGTTAAAAAACCATAAGTGAACACCAGGGACCTATAAAGGTCCCTGTGAACACACATTACTACTGTTTATACATACTTAGGGGAAAAAAAATACACTCCAACAAAATGTGTATTTAATTATATCCACCTTTAAAAATGTTTACAACGCATGATTTATGACAGATTTTATAATAGGTGTACAATGAAGCTTTCAATTTGATCCAAGGGGATCACACCACTTGCAAACCCCCCCCCCCCCCTATAACAACTCTTTAGTATGCAATGTAGAGATAATTCTTCTACAAGTTAGATAAAATCAAGGATTTCTTTTTCACAAAGATCTCAAAATATAAAGTACATGTAATATTAAACCCTCAAAAGTATTCTCAAAAGGTTTATCACCACTCATGCAGAAATTGACAGTTGTGTCTTTCACAATTAACAATTCTCAATTGTTAATGAGTGAAGGACAGTTATGTCGTCACAAGACGACATCATCCGTGGGAATCCGACATATGCTGTGTGGATTAGAATCCGATCCCAATCAGATTATAGGGCGGGGTCATCATAAGAGTTTATAAAATCTTTTAAATTTTTTTTTTTATAATGGTAGAGGTTAAGCTGAAGTATTCTTTTCCTCGATCTTTAGCGTTAGGATAAATTAAAGTATTTTTAGTTCTCTAACGCTTACCCACTTGTATCACCATTGCCCTCCTTAGATTGATTCAAGGCGATATTGTTAGGAGTTTGGAAAGATGGATCAAAATTATAATTTTTTTTAATTATTTTTTTTTTTCCCTATGCAAGGACGTACGTGCTTCGTCTTTAAAAAAAAGGGGGCAGTAGAGATTAAAAAAAAAAAACAACTAGTCAGTAACCTGAAAAAATCTAGAAAAACAGGAGGGGCTTCCAAACTCCCACTCGAAAATCCAATGGGGGGGGGGGGGAGTGATCCTCGAACTTCTATCTTAGTATTCCCCCCCCTAAAACTACATGTATCTAAATTATAATTTTACTATCTAAACTACATTATGGGGGGGCAAATAATTTTCCTTTCAATAAACAGTTTCAATATTAAAAAGTTTGTTAAAAAAACATTTTAAAATAATCAGTTATCAAATTTTTCAAAATTGCTTGTTCCTATCCTAAGAATTTTTAAATCAAACGAAATTACAATTGAGAAAAATCAATGAATATCATTTTTCCCATCATAAGTGGGTGTGAGGCCTATATACACATATATATGACTCAATCTTGACTAAAGTGTGGGGGGAAAAAAACAACGTGTGTATAGACAATTAAAAAAAGATTAAATAAAGGAGCAATGAGGGTCTGATTTTAATCTAATTGAAAAATCAATTTACAGTTGTATGTAGACATGGTAATTGTACATCAATTAATTAATGAAGTTTGATTTTTGCATAATGTCAGCATTTCAATGACTTTTGTTTCAAAATAAATCAATTTACTAATAACATGAATAATTAAATCAAACATCAAAAACTACTTTGAAAGGTTTTTTTTCTGCAAATGTAAAAGTTGGAAAAATTTTGTACACAATATTGTTAAAAAAATAATTCAGTATTAATTAAATTAAACATGTTTCTAAAAATACTGATTGTCATCTAACATACATGTATCAGAAATGAATAATTCTTTTTTTGTACAACACATATCATGTAAATCTATACTGATATATATATAAAAATTCTGAGTGGTACACCGAGATTGTCAAGACACACATTTATTATTACACCCAAGGGCAGATATTTGAAATGCGTACACCCAGGGACCGATTTCACAGGTATTTCTTTTAACCGGCCAAATGTCACGTGACTTAAATTCCTGGCTGTTTTTTTTAAATTCCACAATGCAATTATTTTTTCCTGATTTTACCACCAGCAATATATTATTTTTGAAAAACAAAAGTAGTAAAATGAGTTGTACTGCATTATTAGTTTTCTTATTTAATTTTTGCAAACTATGGAGAAATGAAATGAAATATTAAAAGAAAATGACATAGGGGGTAAAATAAAAAGCGGAAGTTATATTCAGATTGTTGTCACTAAATTGGAATTTCTTCTGTCGTGTGTTGTGCATAAAAAAACTCAAGTTAGATATCTGGTAAGAATTTTTGATGAAAAAAAAGATAGAATTATGTAAACCTTTCAGATGCTTTTTCATGGTAGATATTTTCTGAATGGCATATTTTTGTTTATGTTGATTGATAGAAATAATCTGCAAAACTTTGTGGAAATGTACGTTTGTAATCATCTGATGGTATACATTACACAGTGTTTATAAGCAGCATTAGCATAGTTAACACAAAACACAGAATCTAGTGAAAAAAATACACAAATTTTACTCAAACCCAAGGATAAATGTAATTTTATGATACCATTGACGTGAACATGATAAAAGAATGGGATACATCACACAGTCCATCCAATACGAAAATTGTAATATTAAGAAAAAACTAAGTTCGGAAAGCGTAACATTACAAGTTATCGTAATATAACACTTATATTACACTTTTTCGTAATGTAGTTAAATTCGAATCGCGAAATTTAACAAGAAAGGACTATAAATTTTTCGTAATCCAAGACAAATTCAAGCATTGCAAGAAATTGAGTGGCCGGTACAAAGTATGACGTTTATACGAGATGTCACGGGCGATAACTTGTCGACTCTTATAATTTGAATTCTGTGTTTTTCGATAAAAATTGCACGAACAGTTGTATTATGAGATGAGGGTGTGATTTTTAGGGTAGACTTGGAAGAAAAGAGGGATTTCGGGTGATATAGACCAATGCGACATTCTTAAGCGAATATTGAAATTTACTGGAAAATTGGTTTATTTGGGGAAAATTCCTATAAAAGATAATAAAAGAAATTGTCGACTCACCCATCGCTGGCGGTCTTTCTTCGAATTCCCTGCTTTCTGATATGCGTAACTGACCAAACTGACCGTGTGCTATGTGTTGGAATCGTAAATTACTAGTATATTTTGTTTCCACCACTCAATTTCTTTCAATGTTGAATTTGTTTTGATTAAAACTCATAATATAGTCTCTTACAATCTGCTAAATTATGCGTATTCGTAATTTAACTACATTACGAAAAATTGTAATATAAGTTTTATATTAAGATAACTTGTAATATTACGCTTTTTCATAATCTTACATTTTTTCGAATATTACGAATTTTCGTATTGGACGGGCATGTCCATGTTGAATGAAAATATTTATGGTTATCATTTTCTGTTTGAATAATCGATCTGAAATATTGCACATGTATTATTATAGTCTGATTCTCACACCTCTTAGAAATCTACATTATATGCTTTCTGAATTGATTTTGATTTGTTTTATCAACCACTTGTTTCTCCCTTTAATAGCCCTAGTGAGCCATGAGTGTTGGTTCCCCTGCAGTGGGGTCCCTCCAGTTGAAATGGGACCCCAAAAATCTGGAGATCCGGACAATGTCTGTGGAGAAGACACTGGAACCTTTAGTTACACAGGTATTATGTTATTTCTCTCACTGCTATGCATATTAGCAGGGCTCGACATTAACACTTGTCCGGTACCAATACGGACAAGTGAATATTGCTGGGCACTTGTCCGATTGGACATGTGAATTTTATTGTAATGGGGTCTATAAATAATGAAAACAACGACTGTTGAAAGCTAAGTCCAATCGATTGAGCTAAATCGGTAGTCTCAAGACGGAAGCTGTACAAAAAAATCAAAAATACAATCCCGATAGTATAGTCATTATTAATATTGAGTTCACATTCGATCGGGATCGAAGTTCACTAATTGCCTACTACTGAAAAGTCATGGAAGATACGAACTGAAGTGTGAATTGTTTGATGTTGACAGGTTCACTTGTGGACATTTATTTAGAAAGCCTAAATTAAATTTCGTTTTATGTGTCTGCTGTATTTATCAGTAACATCAAGAATCAATCAAGCGCATGACATGTGTAAATAAATGGACTTTATTTTAATTTTCAAGTTGAAACTATTGAACTTTATTGAAAAATTTTCGGACAAGTGAAGTTGAAATTCGGATAAGTAAAAGTCTTTGTCACTTGTCCGAATGGACAAGTAGGAAAAAAAGTAATGTCGAGCCCTGATTAGTTGTTATGGTCAGAATTTACAGAGGTACAGTATAGTTGACACTTTGTTATATTACAAAAATCTTTAACTGTTATATTGGTAAAATCAGTACTTAGTGTTTGAAAAAGGTTAAATTTAGTTTAATGAAATACACGCATGCCCTTCTTTTAAATTTTTCCCATGAAAAAGTTTGTCTAATACACATGACTCAACATGAAAAAAAGTGAGTATGAGAACTTGGGAAATTTTTTATAAGAAGGGAAGTTTATGTTCAGAATTAAATATTCATACATTCTTTTAGTTTATCATGTTCATAATCCAGGAACATCCAGTTTTGATAAAACCTTTTCATTTACCATGTTTACAGGTAACAACCCTAGTTAATCAAAAAAGTCCATCAAATAAAAAGAAAGGGAGGTCAAAGAAGGCACATGTTTTGAGTGCCGCTGTTCAGAAAGCTACAGAGAATTTCATCGCTAGAGGAGAGGAATCGCCAAAAGAAAACCCAGATATCAGGCCTATATGATGGCAGCTGTCGACGAAGTAGGAAAACTGGTAAGTACAATGTGACTTATAGCCATTTGTATGGAATT